TTTATATTTTTTGTATTTGTATTTCGAAGAATTAAACCTCTTTGATACAACTGAAAGAAGGAGAGAAACATATTTGTTAAAGACATATTCTTATGTAATTATTACCAGCTGTTCACCTTATATTTCCAATTACATGTATATTAATTTTCAAAATAGGATTTAATATTCACAAATAGGAATTGTTTTGGTTAATATACAAATGAAATAATCTGTTTTCAGCTACATTAAATCCCAAGTAGATACTCAAAATGACTTTAAACTATTTCTCAAACTGAACACCCTTGTAACCTTGCTGTCACACCCCTGGTGGAATTTTAAATGAATTCGCTGAAAGACAAAAACAAAGTGAGACTAAAATATCCACTGTGATGTGAAATATAAACCCGATGTTAAAGAATAATGTTGATTAGTTACATACAGATATAATATTATTGTTTTTAAACTCGTAGCGATTTACACATGTTGGAAACGCACATACAATCTCCTTAACAAGCCCGCAAGATCGTCAGAAATACACTTAATTAGACCCATGAGAGCCGTTATGTTAAAAAAAAACGCACGTGCGTGTATTTGAATATATCACCGTCCATGTCACTATCCTCACTAAAATCTACACGAGGCAACATAGTTCTGTTAGCTTCATTCCTTGGGCTTTCAATATGACGATATATATTTTAGAAGTTGGAAGATAGAACAAGTATATATGGCAGGCAGCTTCTTTAAGTAGAACACGACGTTTCGAACACGACGCTGTTAAACCAAAGTCACTCACTCACTCTTTGTGGCTTACCACTTTCACGTGGTTTCTCCACGTATAACTCCGCCCGAGACTCTACCAGCCTTGGCAATCTTATAAGCTTTTGCTAGTATATCTCATACGCATTTAGTTGGGTAAGTGCTCTAACCTTATCTAGCTTGAAAGGGATTCGATAAAATCAGTGTCATCGATTTTGGATTTAGATCATTCGATGTTCCAAGTAACATATTTAAGTAGGGAATTAAAGTCAGTTACCTCAGCACCTGGTTGGTCTGTTCTTGACATATGGACCGGGCCTAGCTGTCATCCTCCCTAACAGATCTCCCCTCGGGGTTGGGCGCATATTCCGTGACTAACTGCTGTCTCCTGGGGATCGGGGTTGATGTATATACCCCGGGGTCAGGGCTGTAAAGGCGCCTGATGGGGGTGGGGAGATGAAGTCAGTGTCAGTGCCTTGTTCAGCTCAGGACCTCTAGACACTGGCTTGGCTTGAAGGAATCTGCAAGGTGTATCGCTGCCTTGCACTGAGAGGGTTAATTGGTCTTGTTTCCAGTCCTCCGTTCTTGTAGGCATCGAGTCCTTTACTACGAAGGTCAGCCAGAGTGCTTCTCTGTGAGATCGTTAGCTACGCCTATCCAACTACTTCTCAACGTGTCTCTCTGTGAGATCGTTAGCCTACGCCTATCCCGCTACTTCTCAACGTGTCTCGATGTTGAGTGCGGGGGTCTTCTCATCAGTCAGATTAAACTTGGCTGTAAGTGGCGTGGTTTATCGGGTCTGGAGTTTGTACCTATACGATGCGCCCTTAAGATATCGCCTTCACTCCACTCCTTAATGTTCACATGTTGATTCAAAACTGAGTCGTTGGACTCAAACGACTCTTTTTGCTGTTCAGAGTGTCTCTCTGTGAGATCGTTAGCCACGCCTATTTCACTACTTCTCAACGTGTCTCTCTCTGAGATCGTTAGCCACGCCTATCTCACTACTTCTCAACGTGTCTCTCTCTGAGATGGTTAGGCGTGCCTGTCCCACTACTTCTCAACGTGTCTCTCTGTGAGATCGTTAGCCACGCCTATTTCACTACTTCTCAACGTGTCTCTCTGTGAGATCGTTAGCCACGCCTATCTCACTACTTCTCAACGTGTCTCTCTGTGAGATCGTTAGCCACGCCTATCTCACTACTTCAACGTTTCTCTGTCTCTGAGATGGTTAGCCGTGCCTATCTCACTACTTCTCTCTCTCTGGAGATGGTTAGCCGTGCCTATCGTGTCTCTCTCTCTGAGATCGTTAGCCGTGCCTATCCCGCTACTTCTCAACGTGTCTCTCTCTGAGATCGTTAGCCGCGCCTATTCCGCTACTTCTCAACGTGTCTCTCTGTGAGATGGTTAGCCATGCCTATCTCACTACTTTTCAACGTGTCTCTCTCTGAGATCGTTAGTCACGCCTATCTCACTACTTCTCAACGTGTCTCTCTCTGAGATGGTTAGGCGTGCCTGTCCCACTACTTCTCAACGTGTCTCTCTGTGAGATCGTTAGCCACGCCTATCTCACTACTTCTCAACGTGTCTCTCTGTGAGATCGTTAGCCACGCCTATCTGACTACTTCTCAACGTGTCTCTCTCTGAGATGGTTAGGCGTGCCTGTCCCACTACTTCTCAACGTGTCTCTCTGTGAGATCGTTAGCCACGCCTATCTCACTACTTCTCAACGTGTCTCTCTGTGAGATCGTTAGCCACGCCTATCCCACTACTTCTCAACGTGTCTCTCTGTGAGATCGTTAGCCACGCCTATCTCACTTCTTCTCAACGTGTCTCTCTCTGAGATCGTTAGCCACGCCTATCTCACTACTTCTCAACGTGTCCCTCTCTGAGATGGTTAGGCGTGCCTGTCCCACTACTTCTCAACGTGTCTCTCTGTGAGATCGTTAGCCACGCCTATCTCACTACTTCTCAACGTGTCTCTCTGTGAGATCGTTAGCCACGCCTATCTGACTACTTCTCAACGTGTCTCTCTCTGAGCTGGTTAGGCGTGCCTGTCCCACTACTTCTCAACGTGTCTCTCTGTGAGATCGTTAGCCACGCCTATCTCACTACTTCTCAATGTGTCTCGATGTTTGAGTTCAGAGGTCTTCTCGTCAGTGAGATTAAACTTGGTTATAAGTGGGCGTGGTTTATAAGGTTTGGAGTTTCTACCTATGCGATGTGCCCATAAAATATCGCCTTTACTCCACTCCATATGTCGATTCAAAACTAACACAATATAATCCTTACACGACTCAAATGATTCATTTTGCTGTTCAGGTAGACCATAGAAATATCCTAGTCTATCTATCTCTGACCCGGGAGCTGACACTATTTTCTGTAGATTTACGGTAGCTTGCTCATGCCTCAACTTTATTACGCACATCAGAAATGAATGTTTCTTATGTGATGCATCTTGGTAATATGAGCAGCAGTTTGGAATACGTTCGCTCAGAGTGTATAAGATACACTTCACTGTAGACGTATTATTAATAATATTGTTTAATTTTAGAATATAGCATTTTCCTCACATTAATCAAATTTCGCATTAAATTACTTACAATTAAATAAATTTTAACACTGAGTTAAAAAATCGTTCGCATTGAATATAGTATTTTCAGGAAAATACTTAAGGAACTATCGGATTCATAAAATTAGTTGGGTTTTAGGAGGGGGGGGGGGTTGTTTCAAATGTTATGTGTGTGATATACTGATAGTGTGAGAAAAGGCTGTGCACTTCTTGATATAAATTTGAATGCCTCATGGGATTTGAGGTCTTGAGGAATGGCCAACATGACTGATTGCCAAGCTCGTATTTAGTTTGTAGCAATATTCACATTGTACCTATGTGGGGAGTCGAACCCGGGTCTTCAGCGTGACGAACGAACACTTTAACCACTTGGCTACCCCGGCGCCCAACCATAACAACAGAGGAATGTGTGAAAAACCAAAGACTGTTGGTTGTATCTGTGTAACGGATGCCTTGATTCAGCGACATGTCATACTATTAGCAAAAGCTTTAATCACTGAAGCATTGATGACGGTGTAAACATCTTGTTGGCTGATCGGGACCATCATAAGGCACAGCTGGATCTGTCGACGCTGTATCTAAACATTATCTAGTCTCCTTGTGTTCGGACAACAGGGTTCGACCGCATAAATATATACCATTAAAAAAAAGAAACGCATAACCAAGAAATCTGTTGCGAAAATGTTGCATTTTCAAACATGTATAACTCGTCCACAAATAGACTTCAGGAAATGATTTTTTGCATCAGCTTAAAAGAAGGAAATGTTTATACAACCAAGTGGATAATTTTCCATAACGGAGACACTGAGCGCCATGGTGACGACGTAGCACGGGCCCGACGTCGGGTCTCCTGGCTCTCAGTCCAATCTCTCTCAACCCGTTCCGTACAGCTTGATCGGATATGCTCTGAAGTCCAGGCACCCTAGCTGCTGTGCTCTCACCCGTGTCAGTACGATCAAGTAGATGTAGTACCCGGATGTACCGATCTTGGACTAAAGTGGAAAGTAATCTGGATTTTTATAGCCAGACAGTGCATGCTCTTTGCAACTGGAAAGAGATTTCTGTTGCGTTTGATCAACATTTACAGGTAAAGTCGATTTTTGTTGATGTAAAATCATGTTATCAACACTTTTGTTACATATTTTGACGATTGTTTGAACACAATCGGCAATTAATAGATATTTAAGAATACGAAACGCCTATGCGTTTCTTTTTTCGGATAGTTTATATTCCCATGTTGTCAGTATTTCTGAGTCTCTGTGTGATGGTTGCTGGTTTTCCATCAACCCCACGACAGTTTCAGCATTAGCTTAGTACGAAACAACATATTTTACATGAATTCATCATGAAAACTTTAATTGAATTGGTATTGAAGAACCCGTGAAGATCCGGGTAGGAATTGATCTTTTACAAACAGGGATCAGATTGTCAAGATCGCTGACCTAGTTGATGCATGTCATCGTATCCCAGTTGTGTAGAACGATGTCAATGCTGTTGATCACTGGATTGTCCGGTCCAGACGCGATTATTTACTGACCGTCGCCGTATAGCTGGAATATTGCTGAATGCGGCGTTAAACAACATATTTGACATGGATTTTTAAAAAATGTAATTTAAAAGGCAATATAAAACACAGATCCAGAGTCAGGTGACGCCACATTTATTGCATGGTCGGGCTTGTGTCTTTATTTTCCAGACGTTTTACAACCCCAGCAGAACAGGCACCATCCACCCCATCTCTTAGACCGGCTCCTCACAGCTGTGGAAGCGAATAATTGGTTTTTGTATTAGTGATTACACCTGATAAAAATGTCGCTGTATCTCTACATCAACACAACTGTGATAAAATAAATGTGACACACGTGTACTTTACGGAAGCCATTTTGGGCCACTCTGGTTGGTTTTATAAATTATATTTTGAAATTTCCAGATGATGGTCTTCAAATTTTAAAGTCTTATCTTGACATTTCAAGATCATTGTTTTGAAATTTAAACTTTATGTGAATCTTGAAAATTCATTTAAGCATCTTCAAATTTCATGGACACCGTTATGACAAGAGGATTTTTGACTGGTCTTTTTTGTCATGTTGAAAACATCCAATTCGTTTGTTGATATTTCCTATATATCAACCTTGGTATTCTTTTCGATATTACTTACAGATGAAGTTGAAAACTTACCACCTCTTTTCGCGGTTACTCTCGGGACATCTGAAATAGCAATTGTTTACTTGACTTCAGCATTTGCATCGTGTAAGCCAAATAAGATTAAAATAACCTTTATATCAGATGACATAAGGATTATTGACGTCCAGCTGAGTATTGCATATGATCAACCATGACTACGCATCCAATACATATTTAATCTCGTACTCTTGACATATTTGGCTCGTTTCAAAAGGTCGAGAAAGGACCTCCTAATAGCTCATAGTTTTGTGTGGTGTGCAACGATGACAACCGCTTACCTGCAGCAGCCCTGATCACTTTGCCGTCTTGGAGGAGATGCACTTTGCAGCCGCTACAGAACTTTGCTATCCTCTCTCCCACTTTCTGTTCGATCTCTTCTGCAGGTAATGGCGTTTTGGGAACGACCCACTCTTCAGTAGCTTGAACCTTTGGTGCTGTCTCTCCCTGCATGGTGAACACAGGATGAACAGAATGATAGGTTGTATTTGTTAGTTGGTTGGTGGTTTGTTTAACTCCACACTCAGTGAGTGAGTGAGTTTAGTTTTACTCCATACTCAGCAATATTCCAGTTACATGGCGGCGGTCTGTGAAAAATCAAGTCTGGACCAGACAATCCTGTGATCAACATCATCGATCCACGCAACTTGAATACGATGACATGTGTCAGCCAAGTCAGAGAGCCTGACCACTCGATCCCGTTAGTCGCCTCTTATGACAAGCATGGGTTACTGAAGATCAATTCCAAGAAAGAAAGAAAAAGTGTCAGAGAAAATGGAATGAAATAATGAAAAACCTGAGTTGCAATATGCATCAGCTGTTAATGTGACATACCTTTTTGATGTTGTCTACGACCTTCTTAATGTCGTCGTATGTCTCGTCAGATGGCTTCACAAAACAAGTGTTTTTTTTGGTGATCTTCATAGCCACTAAGCCCTGCAAAATATACATGAAATAGACGTTTAACTGGCATATGTCAGATATTTATTACTGTCTCTGAATTTCAAATTTGTTTCCATAATTTATGTTCAGTTTGTTGCAACAATCATCACCGATTCTCTATCCTACTAACCAAGATGTTATTCAATTCCTTGCGCCCCCCTGAACGACCTCAAGTAGATGGGTAGCAGCTATCAAATATGTCATCACACATATACATCACGATGTATGTTTCGGTGAGAGAGTTTTAATTTTAAGTAAGCGTTGTTTCAGCCATGCAGTGACAAGAACAATTATATTTTTACACATAATATTAATTTAAGCGATTTCTGTTTAAAACACGCTACAACATGAACCTGGCCACGTCGCTAGCTACCATCGAGCACTTATTTCAGATGCATATATACCTTTGTAAAGTCATGGTAGTCTATGATATACAACAATTCAAAACACGTTAAGGCAGCTGAAGTCCTTGGCTAGGTCACTAGCTGGAGATCATGGAGCATATATATCAGATCCGTATGTACTTTTGCAAAATCATGGAAGTTGACTATTTGTAAAATCATGATAGTTCACAATTTGTAAAGTTATGGTAGTTGAGTATTTGTAAAGTCATGGTAGTTGACTGTTTGTAAAGTCATGGTAGTTGACTACCGTTTAAACCACACAGAGGCAGCCTGACCTTTATATGGACCATATATTTCAGATGCACGTGTACCTTTGTAAAGTCATGGAAGTTGATTGACTTCTTGAAGCATTTTTGAGGTGGGTCAGGTGTTCCTGGGTAGGTTATCATACTCTTGTCGTGCAGCTCGATGTCCATAGGGATGACCTCTCCATCCCCGGGTGTCACGGCACCGTGAGCAAACTATAATATAGAGAGACTGTTCTCAGTATACCGTGGTTAGAAGTACAAAGTCTTGCTCTAAGATATAACCTTGACTTGAACATACCATGATATAACCAATACCATTTTTCCACACACGCCAAACACGTCTAAAAGTTTGGCTTGGCTACAATTCATTTCCTAAACTGTGATGATCACGTGGAAAATAACGTACTGTATCGTGAGCACACTGGACAATAGCGTACTGTATCGTGAGCACTCTGGACAATAGCGTACTGTATCGTGAGCACTCTGGACAATAACGTACTGTATCGTGATCTCTCTGGACAATAACGTACTGTATCGTGAGCACTTTGGACAATAACGTACAGTATCATGAGCACACTGGACAATAACGTACAGTATCGTGAGCACTCTGGACAATAACGTGCAGTATCGTGAGCACTCTGGATAATAACGTACAGTATCGTGAGCACTCTGGAAAATAACGTACTGTATCATGAGCACACTGGACAATAACGTACTGTATCGTGAGCACTCTGGACAATAACGTACTGTATCGTGAGCACACTGGACAATAACATACACTATCGTGAGTAGACTGGACAATAACGTACAATATCTTGATCACATTGGACAATAACGTAAATTATCGTGAGCACACTGGACAATAACATACAGTATCGTGAGCACACTGGACAATGAAGCACTGTATCGTGAGCACACTGGACAATATAGTACAGAATCGTGAGCACACTGGACAGTAAAGCACAGTATCTTGAGCACACTGGACAATAACGTCATCTATCGTAAGCACCCTGGTCATTAACGTACAGAATAGTGAGCACACTGGACAATAGCGTACACTATCTTGAGCACGATGAACAATAAAGCACAGAATCTTGAGCACACTGGACAATAACGTACAGTATCGTGAGCACACTGGACAAAAATATACACTATCGTGAGTAGACTGGACAATAACGTACAATATCTTGATCACATTGGACAATAACGTAAATTATCGTGAGCACACTGGACAATAACATACAGTATCGTGAGCACACTGGACAATGAAGCACTGTATCGTGAGCACACTGGACAATATAGTACAGAATCGTGAGCACACTGGACAGTAAAGCACAGTATCTTGAGCACACTGGACAATAACGTCATCTATCGTAAGCACCCTGGTCATTAACGTACAGAATAGTGAGCACACTGGACAATAGCGTACACTATCTTGAGCACGGTGAACAATAAAGCACAGAATCTTGAGCACACTGGACAATAACGTACAGTATCGTGAGCACACTGGACAATAACGAACAGTATCGTGAGCACACTGGACAATAACGTACATTGTCGTGAGTACACTTGACAATAACGTACAGTAGCTTGAGCACATGGACAATAACGCATAGCGCCGTGAGCACACTAGACAATTATGTACAGTATCGTGAGCACTCTTGACAATATCGTACAATATCTATAGCAGACTGGACAATAACGTACAGTATCGTGAGCACATTGGACAATATCGTACAGTGTCGTAAGCACACTAGACAATATCGTACAGTATCTTGAGCACACTGGACAATAACGTACTGCACCGTGAGCACAGAGGACAATAACGTACAACATTTTGAGCACACTGGACAATAACGTACTGTATCGTGAGCACACTGGACAATAACATACACTATCGTGAGTAGACTGGACAATAACGTACAATATCTTGATCACATTGGACAATAACGTAAATTATCGTGAGCACACTGGACAATAACATACAGTATCGTGAGCACACTGGACAATGAAGCACTGTATCGTGAGCACACTGGACAATATAGTACAGAATCGTGATCACAGGACAGTAAAGCACAGTATCTTGAGCACACTGGACAATAACGTCATCTATCGTAAGCACCCTGGTCATTAACGTACAGAATAGTGAGCACACTGGACAATAGCGTACACTATCTTGAGCACGATGAACAATAAAGCACAGAATCTTGAGCACACTGGACAATAACGTACAGTATCGTGAGCACACTGGACAATAACGTACAGTATCGTGACCACACTGGACAATAACGTACATTGTCGTGAGTACACGTGACAATAACGTACAGTAGCTTGAGCACATGGACAATAACGCATAGCGCCGTGAGCACACTAGACAATTATGTACAGTATCGTGAGCACTCTTGACAATATCGTACAATATCTATAGCAGACTGGACAATAACGTACAGTATCGTGAGCACATTGGACAATATCGTACAGTGTCGTAAGCACACTAGACAATATCGTACAGTATCTTGAGCACACTGCACAATAACGTACTGCACCGTGAGCACACAGGACAATAACGTACAATATCGTGAGCACAGTGGACAATTACGTACAGCATCATGAGCCCGCTGGACAATAAAGCACAGTATCTTCAGCACACTGGACAATAACGTACAGTATCGTGAGCACACTGGACAATAAAGCACTGTATCGTGATCACACTGGACAATAACGTACTGTATCGTGAGCACTTTGGACAATAACGTACAGTATCGTGAGCACACTGGACAATAACGTACTGTATCGTGAGCACTCTGGACAATAACGTACAGTATCGTGAGCACTCTGGACAATAACGTACAGTATCGTGAGCACTCTGGAAAATAACGTAAATTATCGTGAGCACACTGGACAATAACATACAGTATCGTGAGCACACTGGATAATGAAGCACTGTATCGTGAGCACACTGGACAATATAGTACAGAATCGTGAGCACACTGGACAGTAAAGCACAGTATCTTGAGCACACTGGACAATAACGTCATCTATCGTAAGCACCCTGGTCATTAACGTACAGAATAGTGAGCACACTGGACAATAGCGTACACTATCTTGAGCACGATGAACAATAAAGCACAGAATCTTGAGCACACTGGACAATAACGTACAGTATCGTGAGCACACTGGACAATAACATACACTATCGTGAGTAGACTGGACAATAACGTACAATATCTTGATCACATTGGACAATAACGTAAATTATCGTGAGCACACTGGACAATAACATACAGTATCGTGAGCACACTGGACAATGAAGCACTGTATCGTGAGCACACTGGACAATATAGTACAGAATCGTGAGCACACTGGACAGTAAAGCACAGTATCTTGAGCACACTGGACAATAACGTCATCTATCGTAAGCACCCTGGTCATTAACGTACAAAATAGTGAGCACACTGGACAATAGCGTACACTATCTTGAGCACGGTGAACAATAAAGCACAGAATCTTGAGCACACTGGACAATAACGTACAGTATCGTGAGCACACTGGACAATAACGAACAGTATCGTGAGCACACTCGACAATAACGGACATTATCGTGAGTACACTTGACAATAACGTACAGTAGCTTGAGCACATGGACAATAACGCATAGCGCCGTGAGCACACTAGACAATTATGTACAGTATCGTGAGCACTCTTGACAATATCGTACAATATCTATAGCAGACTGGACAATAACGTACAGTATCGTGAGCACATTGGACAATATCGTACAGTGTCGTAAGCACACTAGACAATATCGTACAGTATCTTGAGCACACTGGACAATAACGTACTGCACCGTGAGCACAGAGGACAATAACGTACAACATCTTGAGCACACTGGACAATAAGGTACTGTATCGTCAGCACACTGGACAATAACGTACTGTATCGTGAGCACACTGGACAATAACATACTGTATCATGAGTAGACTGGACAATAACGTACAATATCTTGATCACATTGGACAATAACGTAAATTATCGTGAGCACACTGGACAATAACATACAGTATCGTGAGCACACTGGACAATGAAGGACTGTATCGTGAGCACACTGGACAATATAGTACAGAATCGTGAGCACACTGGACAGTAAAGCACAGTATCTTGAGCACACTGGACAATAACGTCATCTATCGTAAGCACCCTGGTCATTAACGTACAGAATAGTGAGCACACTGGACAATAGCGTACACTATCTTGAGCACGGTGAACAATGAGCACGGTGAACAATAAAGCACAGAATCTTGAGCACACTGGACAATAACGAACAGTATCGTGAGCACACTGGACAATAACGTACATTATCGTGAGTACACTTGACAATAACGTACAGTAGCTTGAGCACATGGACAATAACGCATAGCGCCGTGAGCACACTAGACAATTATGTACAGTATCGTGAGCACTCTTGACAATATCGTACAATATCTATAGCAGACTGGACAATAACGTACTGTATCGTGAGCACACTGGACAATAACATACTGTATCATGAGTAGACTGGACAATAACGTACAATATCTTGATCACATTGGACAATAACGTAAATTATCGTGAGCACACTGGACAATAACGTACAGTATCGTGAGCACATTGGACAATATCGTACAGTGCCGTAAGCACACTAGACAATATCGTACAGTATCTTGAGCACTCTGGACAATAACGTACAGTATCGTGAGCACACTGGACAATAAAGCACTGTATCGTGATCACACTGGACAATAAGGTATTGTATCGTGAGCAACCAGGACAATATCGTACTGAATCGTGAGCACACTGGACAATAAACCACTGTATCGTGATCACACTGGACAATAACGTACTGTATCGTGAACACACTGGACAATATCGTACTGTATCGTGAGCACACTGGACAATTAAGCACAGTATCGTAAGCACACTAGACAATATCATACAGTATCTTGAGCACACTGGACAATAACGTACTGCACCGTGAGCACACTGGAAAATAACGTGCAATATCTTGAGCACACTGGACAATAAGGTACAGTATCTTCAGAAAACTAGACAATAACGTACTGTATCGTCGCACACTGGACAATAACGTACAACATCTTGAGCTTACTGGACAATAACGTACAGTATCGTGAGCACACTGGACAATAACGTACATTGTCGTGAGTACACTTGACAAT